AATCATGATGTTTATGTATTGTGTTCTCTAGCCAGCAGAAAGCTGCAGTGACTGCCTCCACCTCCATTCTCAAGCTGGATACTGTGGTATCATCTGCTAGGCTCTCCTGCACCCAAAAGTCGACCATTAGCTTTTGCTAAGAATCGCCAGGCACTTCTTTTGCCTCCTGACACTGAACCATCTGTATAAAAAAATCATCACTGCTAAATATTTCTTCTGCATATGCCAGAATAGTTTCTCTTGCTCTGTAGATGGATATCCTTGCAGCAAGTCTATTGTCACTATTTTATCAGCTCCACAGATGGTCTGAATACTGTTATTTTCTCAATTTGGAGGACCTGACAATATCAGCATATTCACACCAATTGTGTGCTACCAGTGCCAAATCTGGACATTATCAAAGGCTCACCAATGTAAAATAACGTCTGTGAGAGGAGATGCATGAGGAAAGTTGCCCTCCATGACCAAGCAAGAAATGATCAAGACTCTTGAAATAATCCTTTCAGAATATTCATTGAGAAGAAACAGATCAGATGGGTTGTTCATCTCATTAGAATGCAGCCACAACTAACAACAGAGGCATTACATCCAAAAAGATCAAATTTAAAAACAAGAGGGAACTCAAGGAGAATATGAACTGATGGCATTAACTCTGTCACAAAAGAAAAAGCAATTTTTTCAGTATTTACAAGTTGTCAATTAAAAAAATAAGGTTGGGGGGAGGGGGGGGGGGGGGGGGGGGGGGGGGGGGGGGAGATCAATAAACAAAATTTGTGATTCCTTGTTTCAATATAATATCCTCACTCTGATATCAATTGCTACACCCCCCGTGTGGGATCCGGGGCCCCATTGTAGGGGAAAACAAGAATAGACCCACTGCCTCCCCAAAAGCATGTTGTAAGAGTCGACTAATTGGGGAGCTTCCTTTGAAGTCGGAGTGTATCTGCCAGAGAGGCAAGTAACCAACAGTCTGTATTCAAGAGAATGAGATCTGTAAAACTGATGCACACGCAACACTCAGGTTCTGGAGCAGGACTGCAGTTCAGTAGTGGACGAGCAACCAGAACTTTGCGCCAGAATGTACAGCTGGTGAATGCGAAGAAGAAGAAGAATTGCTACACAAGGCTACAACGAAGCCACATTTCTCAATGTCAAAGGCACGAAAAGCAGCTGATTCTTTGCATCGCTTATATTTAGTTACTAATTAATTCCCTTACTTTGAAAAAAAAATATTTTCTCATAAAAGTTAATTCTAAAATTTGCATGGATTTTATTGCTTTGACAGCTGCCATGTTGTAGTGGGCATCAGGCTTGCCTGTTTACCTCGTGGTCATAAGTTTTAACCTACTTGATATTATACAAACCAAGGCCCTACATTTCTTCTGCTTTTTTCTCTTCTTGCTAAGGGTAGAGTCTCCCCCCGCCCAACATGCTTTCAGGTAATTTGGGTATATAGGACTAGACCTATATTTCATTGACCAGACGGGGTGATCTGGTCAGCATCATGCCAGCCACCTTTACTTCCCAGGACTGTACCTGCTACCCACTCAATGCTGGATTGACCTAGGAGCCAAGGTCATTTTTGAAAAAAGTCTGGTCTTGTCCCTGAACCCACAAACTTCCTTTCTGGCGGCTCCCTAAGGGTAGAGTTGAAGGAAGAATATTAAAGGTGTTTTATTTTGAAAAAAAAAAAAAAAGGTCATTTTTAAAGATTTTCATGGGGGAAAAGGGTTAAAGACATTCTACACCCACATGGAATGAAAATTGCCAGTGCTAACCATTGAGCACTAGGCTGCAAACTGTTCCTTCCCATGATGCTTAATGGCAAAAGTGGAAGTTCATAATGATAATACGCAACATCTTTCTAAATGCTTCTGTGCTCTGATTCATACTTAGTTCTATAAGTGCTTATCTAAACTTTTAGGTAATTTACATATTATCTGAGTTGGTCTTCTCCCTTTCCTTGCCAATCTGTCATTGGTTTTATATAGTGCTGAGTAGTCAGCCTGACCTTTCTCTTGCAAAAGAGATGTTGAAAATACCTGCTGCTCATACATATAGAATGCTTGAAAATACAGTCTCCTATGTGTGGTATACAATACTTAGCCAGCAATAATCAGCTACCTGACCGGCAGTATTTATCTAGCTAAGTATGTTAAGGACAGTTTAAAAAAAATAAGGAACTAAATTGTATATGTTGAATTAAGAATTGACATCATAGCACTTGAGACACTCCCATAAGCACCCCATCCCCATCTTCAGCAGCAAGCGAAGAGTTCCAATTTCAGTGGTACCAGTAACTATCTGATTGTATACCCGTCTTGCCTTTCCCTGTCTGACTGTTTACCCGTCTCACCTTTCCCTTAAGTGTTGAGCATCAGCCAGATCCCCTGATCTATTTGTGCCTCAGCATTGTTCAATCGCTCCCAAAGGGCCTTTACAACATCTAGCCTCCAGGTTTCGCTTACGGTATGGCAGCGCTAGTTACCATGAAATCTTTTAGGTTCCATTGTGTAAAACAAATCATTCACCAGTTTGAACACATGAAGGCAACGTGTTCAACTGCTGGATACTGCAGGGAAGTTGATATGTTTGTTACATACCATATAATTATTCATTGTTTGACATTTTTGTTGCAACCCCGCATTCGTCATCGTTCTTAGTGCCCTTAACAACAGGGACTTACTATGTGTGAATAAGCCACTCATGATTCTTTGTATTGGAATATGCAAGGATCAGAGAGACCCAGGACTGTAGATGTTCGATCTCTTGCGCAGTGGAGTACACCTTGAGAGCTTGGTCTAGCCCTATGAGTACTTGTACCTATAGGGTGAGAGGGGCACATTTAGGTCGTAAATCCCTTGATCAGAAAACCCTTCTACAGTCAAGACCATTGTGTGTGACCGAAGAGGCACAAAACACAACGGATCTAGAGGAGACAACCCTGATAAAAAGGGTTAAGTCTATGGTGGATCTACACGCCTATTGACTAAATAACTGGGATACACAGTCGGGAAAATGGAACATCTAGTTAGCAGGTGAGGCAGCGTCAAGCATATGGACTCCGTCAGGAAATCCACTGCCTCTTCCCTAGCAGGCAGGCAATACTAGGGTTATCATTCACATCCTGCAGTGAAAGAATATTTTCTAAGGATTTTGTACTTAATAATAAAAAGAACTGTACTGTACATAAATTGTACAAGCTAATACTAAAAGACATGCTACAGAAGTGTAAGGAACAATGGAAGCATAGATGTTAATGCAATGGCTCATGTACTTAATGGTCTAGAGTTAAATTCTCACTACTGGTCAGCTTTACCTTCCCATTTGGCTGGCCTCACAAAATTAATATTAGAAATCAATCTCTGAAAGAGAAAATAGCCATACCCCACAGTGAAAATGGCTAATGATGGCTATTTTGCCACTGGTGTGTGGCTTCACAGAAAATATGGGCTGTATCCCCAAGCTGACTCAGTTAGCATGTAAATAGACATCATATATGGTGGTGGAATTTTGTGACTGTAGTTCTTACATCCTGATAAAATCTTACACTAATATTAAAATGACAAATATAAAATTCCTCAAAACAAATATAAGCAAAACAACATAATTATATTACTCTAGTTTCTGGACTTAATCCATAAGTTAACAAATTTCAGCTAGCTAGTCATTTGCATTTCCTACCATTATATATTACATGTACCACATGAACATAACATTTATCTGCCAAAAAAAAAAAAAGTAAAGGACCCTTTTCCACGCCTTTAGGCGTATAAGACATATAGGGCTAGACCTTTATTTTTATAGACCAATCGGCACACCTTTACTTCCCGGAACTATATCTGCAAAACGTCACTAAAAACATTTACAATTTAAAATCAAAACACTTAAAGATCTTGTTCTGAAAAAAAAAATACAAGCATATTAAACAATGAACAAAATAATGTGAAATAGTTAGCATAATATTCAACGCAAGTTCAACCTCTTCTTTAATTTAATAAACTATTAAATGTAACTAAAAACTAAGCCTTTGTTTTGCTTATTGGTTTTCCTGTCACTGGAAAACTAATTTGTTTTGAATAATGCCAATTTTTACAGAAGCATGACAACTATACTTATCATCCATCAGTCTTTCTGGTTAATGACAGGACAGAACACAAAAAATATAACCTAATAACAATAATAGAGATGTCAACTGAAACCTTATGAAAACAAACTGACAACAGAAAAACCAAATTAAGAGCTAATGCAAAGGCTGCACTATGCCTCTAAAGAGGTGAAGCTTGGAAGGCTATTGTAACTTCAGGAAGTTATGACAATTCAAAATGTCATTTCAGTCTGAATTGCTAAAACACTGTATATGCTTACACATGAAATAAACCTACAATGAGAACTACATATATTATAATAGTAAGTCAAAAGATTACAATCGAATTCATGTGTGTATGTGTGAGTGAGAATGAGAAAGACGGAAGTTAAATGTACTACTAAAAATGTAATTAAATAATGCACTGTGCTACACCGCACACAGCAAGTGTGGAACACAGTACTTCTTATGGCCTGGCTGTATGGCAATGGCTATCATGTCTGCCCTTAACTTAAAATCATTTGATACTGATTTTCCTTTATGCTTCAATAGCAACCATCTGTTATCTCTATTGGTCTTCCCCTGCCTTGCCTCCAATCTAATGCTCATGTCCTCATATTGAAATCCACCCCCCCCCCCTTTTTTTTTTAGAACATGCCCACAAGAAGGTGGATTAGCTTATGCAGTAAGCAATTTTTTTTGTGAGTTTATTTTTTTTTCAAGACATCTTCTCACAATGATGCCCACTAACATTAATATGAAAAAAATGATTAAGATAAGAAGGGTAAAGTAAGATAAAAATAAAAGAGAGGAAGGAAGGATGGTATGGAAACGAAGACAGTGTGAATACAAACTGAAGCAGTGTCACAAATATGAAATTGCTACAATAAACTAATCCATGTGTGTCTTGTCCCTATTCTAGATCAGAGAAATGTTTGAATTGTTTAATGCAGCGAACAAATTCTGAAAGCTTCTCATTCTCTGAAGGTGTTAACACAGACAGCTGTACTCCTTTGGTACTCAGCTCCAAAGTGACGCGACTTAAGTAGTCTGGATCTGGGTAGCCATACCTGTCAACAAGAAAGAGTAAGAACTGAAATACAATCACATGAGTCAATGCAGTGTTCATTATATTCCTAACACAATTCTTGTATTAAAAATGTTTCTTTGATAGTAAATGTTTCTTTTTTTCTGGAACAGAAGCATTTGTCTACAACTGTTTCAGCATGAAATGAAGTCACAGTCTCATCTTGCTCCTTTTGTACCTTGTAGTGTCAAGAGTTATAAAACAGGGCTCGTGCATGCATACTGCCTGTCCCCTCTGGGCCGCTATCTAAAGTTTTGACACTTTAAGATTAGAAAATCTAATCTGGATGGCAGACCAACAAAGTCAATTCCAGATTTTCTGTTCAACTTTTGAAAAAGTTGTAATTGGGATACATAATGGCTACACCACATCCAGTTTTAACACATGGCTGTGAATCATGGACAATCGGTAGGCAGGCCAAACAATTTCTTGAGGCCTCAAAGATGTGGTTTTACAGAAGAATGCTTAGAATATCTTGGACAGCCAAAAAGAGCAGCCAAGAGGTTTTGAAAGAGGTGGGAGCCCGAAGAAAACTTATCACAGACATCAGAAGGAGACAGTCATCATTTTTCAGTCATGTTATGAGAAGAGGGAAAATAGAACATGTTGTGATCACTGGAAAGATCTGTGGAAGGAGGGATAGAGGAAGACAACGAGCAAAGATTCTTGACAGTCTTGGGAAGGAGGGATAGAGGAAGACAAAGAGAGAAGATTCTTGACAGTCTTGTTGTAAGGCATGGAGGTGTGTCAGCACACGAACTGATACATGCTGCAAGAGATTGTAGATTATGGAGAGGCATGATCGCCCACGCCAGTCGGCAAGGCACCTGATGATGATGATGAATGGCTACACCAGCCTGGCATAACCTGCAGTCCAGTTCAGGTAAGGAAATATTGTACAGTGCTAATGTGTGTGCTTAATTTATGGTTGTTGCTCTGTGCTCTGTTATTCCCTCCATCAATGTCCACTTACTGGTTGTTGTGATGTACAGTATGTTGGTAGCTGAGTTATAAAGTGAACCATTTCACCTGCTGTTTATTAACAAAATCTAGTACTACACCAAATTTTGTCTTGATCTCCTCTTCTTAATCTTTCTCTTTTTCTGTCTTGTCCTAGTCTGGTATTAAGTTACAGTGTAGATATATATTCATGCAGCTTTGTTGATGACAACATTATGTTAACTTAGTAAATTTGTTTCAGCCTTTATTAAATACTGTGTTAAAATGAAAATGAATTCTGTTGAACTACTTACTTTTTCCCATGCAGCCTTGTTTTGTGGGAAATACCATCCCAAACAATCACATCATCTTTGTTTCTAGATTCAGAATAACCTATTGTGAATATAAGGTTTCGAATAAATGCCAGTCGCAGACGAACCAACACTTGATAGCCGAAGCTATTGGCTGGAAGATAGGCAGTACGTACAACAGAATCATATGGTTTTCCTGGATGTGGGTGGCAGTCCTGCAAAAGAGAATTTTTATTAATTCAGCTGTGCTTGCAAAAAAGTTAATATTTTAATTTTCAAACATTAACACCTGTGAGATTTAAAGACTGATGGAAACTTAACAATCAGAGATCAAGTTCAAAATGATATTATTGGGCTGATATGGGAAGGTAATCTTGCACCAAATTAATTGATATGACCATAAACAACAATCTACATCCACACTGCAAAAATATGAACAAATCCATCACTCAAGCCACCTGAGAAGTGCAAGACAAATACATAAAACCACGACACTGGGCTACAACCTGGCATCAGGGAGACAACAAGAGAAGCAAATTCAGAGTGGATTCAAAAATTGTTTGACCAGGCTGCACCTGAAGAAAGATCCGACTGAAAGATTTGACATTCAGACCCCTTGACACAAAAATGCAGTAACAGCACATGATTTCAGCAAAAACAGACATACGCTCACAAGCCACAAGAAGTGCTCACATAGAAACAAAATCAACTACTAATTGTGTTAAATGTGTGTGATTTTGTGCCCATATATAGATTATATGAATATTCTTGAATCTTATGTGCTTTAAAACAGTGAATATAATTGTTCCCCAATATTTTTCTGACAAGATTATTCTGAGTCTTAATCAAACATTAAAAATGCCAGGCCATTAAATGTAAATTTATAATATTATGATTGAGGTTCTCATGAAATCGTTTTTTTAAATGTGATTTTAGAATGATTTCAAACAAGTTATCTGGAACACATAAGAACTTAAATAGCTGTGTTGCAAAATTTCAGATTCACTACTAGTAAATGAGGTATCTGAAGTTGAGTCTTGGCTCTGTGGCTTCATAATGCCGTGATGCCGGGTTCGATCCCAGCTGCCAGCCATGCGCCTAGCGTTGGTATCAAGAAAGTTGACCGTTCAGAAAGCAATGGCAAACTACTGGAGTAAATTTTCCTAGAAAAACCACACAACAGCTGAGAGCTGTTTGGGTTGGTTCTGCAACGTCCTGTAAAGGATACGCAACCAACCTATAGATTGTTAGGTTGAATATATTTTAGGTGTATAGATTATAAGGTTTCATATATTTTAGGTGTATAGATTGTTATGTTGAATATATTTTAGGTTTACCTTTCAAACAAATATAGTAATTATGTCAGGTAGTTTATCTTTATGGATATTTAAAGTGATCTGGAATAATATTTTTCTGTCTAATGACATATGAACACCTCATATGCTAACCCAAGTTCTTGCGATGTACTGTTTGATCCATCTGTAATTTTCTACAGCCATCTTCCAGTGTGTTTTCATATATTAATTAAAGGAAAACTTTTAGCGTTCATACTTCTTGCAGTATAGAAAATAATGTTCAATATTATCATTTATCTATGTAAACAAGTAAAAAGTAAAGGACCCTTTTCCATGCCTTTAGGTGTATTGGGCATATAGGACTAGACTACATTTTATAGACCAATCGGCACTTGGTGGGTGATGTAGAAGGTATCATCCCGGCCACCTTTACTTCCCAGGACCTGTACCTGGTACCCACTCAAGGCTGGGTTGACCTGACAGCCGAGGCCATTTTTGAAAAAAGTCTGACTCCATCAGGACCTCAACCCATGACCTTCTGATCTGCAGGTGAGCTTCTAGCCACTACACCATGGTTGCTCCAATCTATCTATACATAAGTCGTCCACATGTGGGATGCAATTTTTCATTATTTGAAGCCCCACCTTGGCTTTTGCCAGGAGCTCTGAATATAGCTGGGCCACATTTGTGGCCATAATAGCTAAAACAGGTTTCTGGGACCTCTCGACGGGTGCTCTTCATCCACATGGTGGCACTTTGTGTCACCAGGTATTTATCGCTTGTGTGATGTCCTGGTGGGGTACAACAAGCAAGCAAGCAAGGAGGCCTGACTTTACTGCACCAGGTTTGATCCCAAATACTCTTTTCACAGAGTAGCCAGTCAACAATAATCACACAGCACTAAGCATGAACTCCAAAGGTCCATCAATGATTCCCAGGAAGCTCTGAAACATCTGCATCACAAACTGAAGAAGTGAGACTGAAAGCCAACCCAACACCTTCAGAGCAGGTGGTAACAGGTTAACCACTTGCCACAGAGACCTTCATCTGCTGCTAGTCATATTGATAAACACTCTGATTTTTGTTGTTGTTAAATAGGATTAGAAGTAGTAACTTTAAAAAAAAAAACCTGTTTAACTGATTTTTGTTGTTGTTGTTAAATAGGATTAGAAGTAGTAACGTTAAAAAAAAAAAAAAACTGTTCAACTGATTTTTGTTGTTATATAGGATTAGAAGTAGTTAAAAAAAAAAAAAAAACTGTTCAACCCATGTTCTTTGATAATTTAGATATATAGTTTTTCTTTTCTTTTTCATGAATTAATCAAGTAACAGAAAGTATTGTGAACGGCACTCATAGAAAGAAGTAGAAAGATAGAAGAACACACTAGACAACATAAAAATCGAAAGCTATAGTTACCGTGCCGGGAATTGAACCTGTCACCTCCAGACGGCGTCTGCGCCTCGCCATGAATACAAGTGCACTAAGATACATGGTCAACTTGGCACCCCCAAAAAAGGTGTCTCATTGGCCATGTCTATCGTACAGCTTGAAATCCACGACTATGGAATACGGACAGAATTCATTTCAACCCATTGAAATGGCACCATAGGTTACAGAAATTTATATTAACGAGGCAAATGTCAAATAACAATCACAGCAACAATTTACGTACACAGTAGACCTTATTGCCCTGTCTAGAATACACAAACATTTAAGAAAGGTATTTGATTGGTAGGTTCCGGTGTGTATACGTCATTCCTATAAATAAACAGAGGGGGGAACCATTTGAAGCCGTTAAATATTATGAATTAATCAAGTAACAGAAAGTATTGTGAACGGCACTCTTTTTCAATACTGGATATTTATGCGTGTCAATTACTTTTGATTATTTAATACTGCCCGGAATATGTACTGATTGCAACAGATTATATAAGTATTGCTTACAATATTTTAGATGTGTTTTTTTTAAATAATTGTGATAATCATATTGTGTAATGTTCTTCTTAATTCATCCTGAAAGGGCTGCTGGCACTTGTGGTTTACATCTAGGCTGTGATATCTTTTGCTGTGCACTTTTTGGCTTACACATCAAATCTGAGCAATTTCCTTATTAGTTGCCTTGTACAACTTGCTTGCTAGAAGGCGGTAGCTCTAATCTTTCTTCACCAAAATGGATTACTTTGTGAAAGATGACTTTCATAATACACAGGGACAGTGACATAAAAAGTGAGATTCTCCATGTGGATTCCAGGCCCTATTGTGGGGAAAACAAGAATAGACCCAATGTCTCCCCAACAAATCATGTCGCAAGAGTCGACTAACAGGGAGCTTTCTTCAAAGTCAGAGTGCATCTGCCTGAAAGGCAAGGAACCAAGAGTCCAACAGTCCAGTAAATGGACAAACAACCAGGTCTTTCTGCCGTGGTTTACAGCCGGTGAATGCTAGCAAGCAACAACAAACAAACAAAGTAAAGTAAGTAAAAAAAAGTAAAGATCCCTTTCCACGCCTTTGGGCGTATCGGGCATATGGGAAGAGCGCCCATATTTTTACAGACCATCAGCACTGTGGGTAATGTGGTCAGCATTACGCCGGTTGTCTTTACTTTTCCAGGACAGCCCATCCTGGTACCCATTTTAGGCTGGGTCAACCTGCGACGCCCCATACCATGATAAAAATCCACTCAGCCAGCAGTGGGTTTTGATCGCGGTACGCTGGATTACTCGCAACGCCTAAGCCACAGACGCTGCAAACAAACAAAAGTGAGATGTAAATGTAAAGGAAAAATATAATCTGTTAGATTAAATTCCAAGCTCTTTTTTCTGTAAACTTGCTGCTTATAAAAATTAACTTGTTTATAAACATTAAGTAGCTGCGTGCGGTTTATTAAAAACAGTTATAGTAAATTAGCCAACACTATTCTATCAGTGCCAAACGTGGACACTTACATCCTCCAATGAACGTAAATTTGTGACAACAAAGACGAAACCTGCCACAGCGAGCCACATCATTACAACGGGTATAGAGCGAGTGAAAGACTTTGGAAAATATGGAGTGATGGCATTAAGAACAGCCTTACAGAAATAAATGTCAGTCTTAACAGTGCTCTAGACAGAGCGCATCAATGAATGTTACATCTCCTCCCGATACTTCACTGAGGTACAAGGTGGAAGAGACGAAGAAGAAGTAAATTAGTTTAAGAAAATACTACAAAAAGGCAACAATGCAGACGAAGAAGACAGCTGAGAGATAATATACAGGCAGACATACACATTTCTGGTGTTACTGGAAATTGAAAGACAATAACAAATAGAGGCAAAAGATATGTGCAGTAATGAACTTCAGAAAAGACTCAGACTGCTGAAGAAAAAGAAGTTTTAAAAATATGCCATTAAATTTCAGTGGCTGTACATTCACAATATTATTTAATGAACTGTAATTTTTACTCACTTGCTGTATGCCATCAGGAAAATAGTATTCAATTTCCCAAACATCATCGTCCTCATACCCATCAGCACAATCATCAATCAGGTCAACTGTCATTGAACCAGGTGGTTGGTTGCCAGTTATTATCTTCCTAGGCTTTAGACAAAACGGACAAACTGAAGCACTTTGTTCACAGTCTTGACAAAGCCATTTTTCACAGCATGTGACACACTGACATGAAGTGTTTTTACCACAGAAATCACATGCATGCTTTGTATTTACAGCCGCAGCAGCACCCTTTAGTAAAGTGGCAACAGCACCTGTATTCACAGTGGCAACAGCACCTGTACTCACAGTGGCAGAAGCAACTGTATTCACAGTGGCAACAGCACCTGTATTCACAGTGGCAGAAGCACCTGTATTCACAGTGGCAGAAGCACCTGTATTCACAGTGGCAGAAGCAACTGTATTCACAGTGGCAGAAGCACCTGTATCC